ATTTGATTCCTCCAGATATCATGAGTCTTCCTCCTGAGTGCCTCCTCAAAGTCTTGAAGTCGCTCTATGGACTTCGCATTGCACCAAGGAGATGGTATCTTAAGTTCACGCAGGTGTTGAAGACGGTGGGAGCAAGTGGGATAGGACATGATGAGATCATCTACCGATACTCCAACTGTGCGGGGGACGTCTTGCTTCTGACTGTCTTCGTGGATGACTTACTCATTGTCTCTCAAACTGAAGCAGTTAAGATTGAGTTTCTTGAGAAGCTCAACACAGTATTCGACTTTTCGGGGAGTGAGGCAACAGGTACCTTCTTGGGCATTAAAATAGAACAGAATGACGATCAGGGTCGGATAACTTTGTCACAACAGCATTTCATTGAAAAGATTGTTGAACGCTTTGAAATCGTTGCCAGAGGTGTCAAAACGGTATTACCTGGTCACTATCTCAAGACTTATCACTTGGAGGGTAAGTTGTTGAACAAGAAGGAAGTCCGCACTTATCAGAGTCTTCTGGGGTCCATTCTCTACGTGGCAAATTGTACGCGGGTTGATATCGCATTCGCGACGAGCGTCCTTAGTCGCTTTGCTCGGGCTCCTAGGCAGTGCGATATGGATGCCTTAATTCATCTTCTACAGTACCTTTACACTACTCGGGAGGTTCAGATCGTATACCATTGTCACGGAGTATCTTACCACCAGGAGTGTTTTGTCAATGAGATGATTGCATTCAGTGATGCTGGTTGGGGTACCGAGATTATTACGAGACGGAGTCAAAGCGGATATGGAATCGTTCTGAATGGTGGGGTAGTCGTCTTCGGTTCAAAAATGCAGAAGGTTGTTGCCCTGAGTTCTTCAGAAGCTGAAATTTATGCTGCCACCACCTGCGCGAAACTAGTCAAGCTTTATAGAAATCTCTTGGGTCAGATGGGATTTACGCAGACTCGTCCTACTCTCTTGCTAATCGACAATGAACCATGTCTGAGGCTTTTGTGGGACAAGCGAAGTTATAGTCGACTCAAACACATTGATATTCGAACGAAGTATGCTGTTGATTTGGTAGAAAAGGACGAGCTCTATCCAGAAAAGATTCATACTTCTTATCAGCCTGGTGATTTGCTGACGAAAGTTCTGCCTTTGAATCGGTGGAGGCTCCTTGGTGAATTTCTCTTCGGAGACCCCTTACCGGATATGCTGCTCTGAGGATGCTCGCCTGTCATGCTCTCTGCGCTTCTGTCAGGGACAGTGCTACTCTGTTCCCATGCCGTCAGTCGCCAAAGTTGTATGCCCCGTGTGTGATTGACGGTGATCCGAGCTCCAGTCTCCGACAAGGAGATTCAACCGATCCTGCTGCGGTGGCTTCCAGGCTTTATCTTCCGTCTTTTCTCCGATTCAGGGAGGGTGTCTCGGACCCTTGCCACCGAGTCCGTGTCGCTCGAGAATTGTCAGTCTTCCGTCTTCTATCCGATTCAGGGAGGGTGTCTCGGGTGATGTCACCGAGGAGACTCTCATGGAGAACGTGAAGGAATCGGATGAATCGGAAGGAGGATAAAGACAGACACGTCTTCCTCAAGCCTGTGGCTAGCTGCAACCAAGACATCTGTTCTAGGTTAGTATCTTAGAAACTCGCTCATCCTGATCTATGGAACCCATGACGGTAGTGAACGATGAAATTGAATGGCCAAAAAAAAAAAAAATGAAAATTGAGAAAGAAATGACGGATGAGTCGAGATCGATAAGTCATGTGGTTGAAATGAAAGCGCTGACGTCAAAAATGATTGTGCCTTGGCAAAACAATGATCCCCGGGGTAGATAGGATAGAAAGGGCCCATAGATTAGAAACGAGAAAATTGTGTTCAAAACAATCAGAGATCAATCAATGCATTGCAAGAATTCTGAACCTGATCTCTGGAGCTTGATTGGAATTCTAAATTCTTGGCATCATCAATGGGTGGAGATGTCTTCATTGCTCAATGCGCAAGCTTCAGAGAGGTCACATGATGACCAATCCCATCATGAGGATCAGGTTGAAGAGGAGGAGGAGCTGTCTGACTTGAAAGATGCAGATGTGTTCAGGACTTAGTCTTGAACTGACACTGCAGGCAGCTGGGAAGAGTTTATGATGGAAGGTGAGGAGGAGCACAGGTGCATGCGGACAGCGCAGGCGGATGAGGAGCGTCTCTGTGGCATGCGGATGGTACAAGCTGAGGAACCCGTGTGCACGAGCCTCAGGATGCGCTAGAGGAGGACAGCGCAGGTGCTGCAGGAGTGCTGCTGAAGCGCAAGCGCTGGAGGAGCAGCGCAGGCCCTACGATGGTGGGGAGAAGCCGCAGCGGTGCACTGTTGGCGGGGTGCGACTGCACTGCATCCGCAGCGCAAGCGGAGGAGGAGCGCAGGTGTCACAGGAGGAGAAACGCAGGTGCACCAGGGTGCACACTTGAAGCGAAGGAGGAGCGCAGGAGGCATGCAAGATGGGGGATGAGCCTGTGCAGAACGGTTGATGGAGTGGTAGCAGCAAGATGACCTTGGAGAGGAGAGCAGCATGGAAGTCAGCTTGGGAAAGATGTTGATGGTCAGGTGATGGGAGCAGCTGACAACGCTGCAAGAAGCTAGAGCGAGCGTTGGAAAGGAGGACATCGCAGGGGACAGCTGCTTAGCTGTCAAGCAGATGATTTTGACAAGCTGAGAAGGTTGCAGCCTTCTGACTTGCTTCCCAAAGGGAGGGTGTAAGAACTCAGGTTCTGACAAACCTCTCAGAAGTTCTTTCAGACGCGATAAGTTCAAGGGATGCGTCTAATCAGGTTGTGAACCAAGTGAAGCCTGCAGGTCCAAGCTAGTGGGCTGGAGCTTAGTCTGTGACTTAGAAGATCCGGTTGGTTGGAGCCTGGGGAAGCTGAGGCGGCGCCGGAGGAATCAAGAGGCGCCGGCTGTCGAAGAGGCAGCACTCGTACAGTGGTGGAAGTAAGGCGGTGGTGTGTGAAGGGAAGCTGTTTGGTTGGTCTTGCTGCTACGAGTGTTGGGAATAAAGTGCTGGGGATTGTTGGGAAGTTGATCTGAGTTATCTGAGGTGTTTGGTTGGCTGTGAAAGTCATTGGTGTCTTCGTGCGCACATCATCTGTGAGTCTTGGTCTTTGGACTTATCAGTCAGCTGTTGAGCTGTTCTACTAGTCATTCATCTGTGCACAGACTCTAGGAGTCAGGAATTGATTCCAATAGTTAAAATCACTGACTCAGTATCGGAGGACAATCAGGAGAGTCAAGGAGGCTTGACCCTGACACTGTCGCACAGGCCAAACGGCGAGAAGAGAAAGACAGCGAGAACCAAACCCAATCCTGCCGACTGCTGCCCCCCACTGCCAGACGGTGCGCACTGGACAAACAGTCACCGGGTGTGACCCCGGCGTTTGAGTTTTGTGCGAGCATGTTCAGTCAGTGCCAAGTTCGGAGCCGGGCCCCGCAGTGACGGTGCCATGATCATCCGACATGATAGCCCGTCCCGGCCGGCCCGGAGTCGGGCCCGGCGGCCCCGAGCCGACTCGCATTGAATGCCCCGGTGCCGCAGGCAGGATCAGATCGGACCATCATGGGCCGAGCGGCACTCAGTTGACTTGCCAGTTGAACTGGCGGGCCGGACTCGGGAGCCTCGGGGGCACTGGCAGGCTGCGTGTCGGACTCGGGCGCGGCGGGAGTCGGAACTCGGAACTTAAACTTCGGACAGTGACTCGGAAGTTCGCAAGAGTCTTTACTCAAAGTTAAGTTAAATCAGTACGAGGCCCTCACAATCAGGCCATACGTCATCCGATCTTGTCATCTTCAACCGTAATAAAACCTCGCTCAATTTTAAAGTCCTTCATCACCCCTATTTCTCTAGGCACAAAGGGGGGTATATACATTTTTTTTTAAAAGTGACTTTTGCTGGGACATGAATATAAGGGGACAAGAGTCTTGTCTTATTATTACCCACTACGGACCCTAACCGTACCCTACCCTACCCTAATCCTACCCTAACCTTACCCTATCATTCCCTATCATTCCTATCATACACTACCCTACCCTACCCTACCCTACCCTACCCTGGAGTCCACTGGCATTTTATAGAGCACCCTTCATCTTCGAAATGAGTGAAATTCCATGAGGGCAAAACTACACACCCCATGCCCCACCCACCCCTACCTCCTTCTCTCCTACAAACCCACCCTGCCCACCCCCATCACCCCTCTCAAATAAAAGGACATTTTACAAGAGACCCTACCGGGATCTTTCTGGAGTCCAGTTCGAAACAGAGGGGGGTAGGGTACGGTAAAACTTCTAATAAAATTAACGATAGTACGGAGGTGGGGTGTGTTAATCAGGAAAATGGGGGGTGAGGGTTCCCAAGAGGCCGTACAGGCTGTTCTAAAAATGAGCCAGTTTTAACTTAAAAAGGTTTTAATCCTTGCAAGTTTTTAGTTAATGAGCTCCATGGCGGAGCGCCGGTGGAATGCAACTTGATAGAGGGAGGGGAGGGAGGGGAGGGAGGGGAGGGAGGGGAGGAGGAGGTTGTTACAGATGGGGCTCGACAAGAATTTTGACTGAGTGCAGGAGAGCTGGTGAGGTAGCAGGTTATAGTGGTAGGGAAAGAGGCAGGGTAAGCAAAGCGGTTGATATCACTATAGAACAGAATTTAACCGCAGGAAGCGTAACGCGGGGAGCGGTAGGCGTTGAAGGGAAGGTGGATTGGATAGTGAGGAGATAAGATCACATACATGTGGCACACAGCTGGAGATGAAGTTAGGCCTAGAGGGGTCTTACTGTATGTAGGAACGATGTTGGGAACACACCTTAGTTGATATCGAGTTTACTTCCTCTGGGTTGCCAGTGACCCCGCATAGATTGAATTTGAGAACACACGCTGTGACATTTGAGAGTTTTGGTACCACTCCACTTGAGGAAGGCACTGACCTAGCCATGCATCATTGACACTTCGTCCTGGTTGATATCAACTGACAATCTTGCACCAGGTGCTTTAACCTGAACTTGCATGGCCATCGTTTCCTGATCACCCTGTGCTCAACAATGTCACTGCCATTTTCTGTTCATTACTTTGACTCGGCTGTCGAGCCATCCAGTCCATCTCCTCCGAACCTTTACGCCTCCAAGAGCGACAAGGTAGAAGGCAAGTCCTGTAGCAGGTGCAGGAGCCACAAGATCAAGTGCGATCGCTACCGGCCGTGTGGGAAGTGCCTGAGGGTGGGCGCCGCATCGGACTGCGATGCGATCCGAGACATGACGACCTGTCTTATCTGCAAGCGAGCGAAGCTCAAGTGTGACCGGCAGCGACCTTGTGCCTCCTGCATCCGTCGGGGGAAGGAGAAGCACTGCATCAACAGCGACGGCTTCCAGGCGCTAGTTGAGCAGACACAGCAAGCAAGCATGATCGATCGCCCGCTGCCCTTGAGCCTGTCGATGATCATCAAAGATATGCCCCTGCCCGACCGAGACGCCAAGACAGGCTTGTTCGGTCCGTTCATCATGCGCGTCTCTCGTTCGGGGTACAAGCCCACAGTCATGCAGTACATGTTGAACTCGATGGGGACAGAGCTGCGGTCGGTCTTGCACGACATCTTGGAGGCGGTGTTGCTGCTGCAAGGGTCGCAGACCTCAAAGAGACTTGACAGAGTCTGCTTCCAGGACTTCCAGCCGATACAGCCAGTCTTGAACATGGAGGACAAGGACGATAGCGTGAACATCTGCGATGCCTTGAGCCTGGATAGATGTCGAGACGCGGTCGGGTGCTGGAAGGTCTTCTGGGCACCAGGAGCGAACGACCGCGAGCAGATTCAGATGAATGCTGCGTTGGGAAAGCTGATGAATCGAAACCCGGAGGAGCTGCTGGCGCGAGCGGGGTCGAGCGAGTGGGACTTCCCGTCCTCGGACATCGAGTTTCTCTGCCTTATCTTGGACGACATCTTAGGAGCGATGGACGACAAAATTTTCCGCTATCACAGGCTATGCAGGAAATCGAGGACGGGGCAGCTGGAAGAGTCGTTCCTAGTGCGGGTCCTGTCCACGAAGGAGAGGGACTTGACCGGCAAGGTCGTGTCCACAACCAACGTGGTGGAGGTGATCAGTCCTGAGGAGTGGGACAGGATACACGCTGATCCGAAGCGCCGGTACTGCTGCTGCTGCTCCCCTCCCTCGCCTCGCACTTGCTGCCCAACCTCTCCCTGGCTCCGCTACTTTGACTTGCGATCTCAGGAAAATCTACATCCAACTCCGCGAGTTTCTCGACAACGAGGTTCCAACGGGGGAGGAGCTACTGAGCGAGCACATTCGTGATCAGGTTCGTCTTGCTTTGAGTACCTCCTTGCTCCTCAAATGTACATGCCAGCTCTTCTCGGAGCACTTCGCAGCTCTGAATCAGTCCTCTGAGGGGCAGCTGAAGCTTGCAAGGGTTGCGGAGTTCTTAAGGCAACGCTTCCAGCAAATCATCTCGCTGGCCAGCATGAAGAAGCAGGCGATGTTGGCCCATGGCCGAGCGATTGCTGCACAGCAGGCGAGCAGAGCATGAAGGTGAGGAGAGGGAAGAAGGTTTGATCTGAGAAGTGAGTATATCAATTGAAGTTTTTGTGAATTTTGACCCATGAGCGTCTGGTTAGTCCATCAGCCACGCATGCGGTGGTTGTCCCTGCCCTCCTGACAGCATAACTTCACATGTGATCACCGCCAGCGCGCCACACTCCTCCCCCCTCCCCCCCGTCCGGATCATTCCCCTCCTGTTCCTCCTTCTCATCATCATCACCATCACCATCATGATCGTCGTCGTCGTCGTCGTCATCATCATCATCATCATCATCATCATCATCATCATCATCATCATCATCATCATCATCATCATCATCATCATCATCATCATCATCATCATCATCATCATCATTATCATCATCATCGTTATCACTCTCTATTTCCCGCTTCCTCCTCCTCCTCCTGCTCATTCTCATTCTCACCGCGAGCATTTGACAACACGTGTTGCGCTGCCAGCTTCACACTGAACGAGGTTCGAGGGTCTGCAATTTTGGCCTGGAGTAAGGAAGATGAGATGGAGATTGGCAGAGAAAGAGAAGATGAGAAGAGAACGAGAGGGACAAGGAGGAGAAGCAGAGAGGGCGAGAGAGAGGGAGAGGGAGGGGG